TGTGTGTGTATAATAGATAAAGATAATAGAGAATTAAAGTAACAATCGTTACCGAATAAAAGCAACGATAACGGTAATGGCATTAAGTAATGCGTTACTTGCCAACCTTAAAAATATTCAATAGTATTGGGAAAATATTTCCGAGATAAACGGACGATTTTCAATACTTGTAGACGTCTTAGTGCAGATGTTTAAAACGTTTGATAAGAATAAAAATTAAATATTAAAAAAACGTTTCTTACAGTGATAGATTAAAATTCTAATATGTCTGCAATTGTCCCATAGGCCATACGAGATATCCACACTCGCATTTCTGATGCCATTGAGAAAGGCTACGTCGTTGACATGAATGGCAAACACATCGACATTTACAACATCATAGATCATGGTTTAAATTATCTTGGCAACGTGATACAGGGCAATGCCGATTCCGTCAATCCTATATACTACGGACAGTTGGAACATTTATACAAAAAAGTTCTCGGTATGGGCCCGATTCAGGCCACCAAACACACGACAGTTCCCACTGCTCTCGAACTCTTCTCTACCACCTTAAGGGACCCTGTATTCTATGGAATCCAAAAGAATATCGCTACTCACTGGATGAGGTGCGACTTGCAAATTTAAGTTATATATTAAATTGAAATTATTTATTTAACCGATGGTATATTCTCCAACGTAGATATAAGGAACGCTTGCCGAGCTACACACACGAGGAACTCGTTTTCCAGGGTGTTACGATCGAATCCGTCACCGTCGACAAGTTGTTGACTTTCTTCGACCACTTTGAATCAATGCTCAACAACGCCGTATCGGTACGCAGCCACAAGGAAGCTCAATCTTTGTTGATAAAAGCACGTCATTATCGTCTTAATCATAAACCTTTTACCTATCACATCACCATCAACAGCGACAAAAATGTCAAGGGAGTTGTTCGTGTCTTCCTTGGACCCAAATACGATGTTCACGGCCACGAACTGGATATAAGCGAGAATTATATGAACTTTTTCGAGATGGATCAATGGCACGTTGACCGTTAGTATCTCTTTCAAATATCTCTTTTGCTACGAAATCCTTAATTGATAAAATTTCTTTAATTAATTTCTGTTTTCAATCAAATGTATAACATTTATTTCAAATAACTTTTTAACTATAGGACCGTAACTAGTGTCGCTTGATTGTTACAGTGAAACCTGGAACCAACAAGATTGAGCGCAATAGTTACGAATCTATCTATGTCGTTCCGGATGAGATGCCAAGCGAGGTTCTGTACAAGAAGGTGATGAAAGCTGTCGAGGGTGGCGAGACTTTCACTTACCCAGGCCAGATTTACGGTTTCCCCGACCGTTTAATGCTTCCTAAAGGCAAGAAAGAGGGTATGGCGTTCAAACTCTTCGTGTGCGTATCATACTTTGATGAGACAAGAGCCATCAAGGTGGATTCTCCCATTTGGGGTCCAAGAGTGATGGCGGACCCTCTACCATTGGGATATCCGCTCGACAGACCGGTTCATGCCTTCAACTTCACTGCACCCAATTTCCACATGAGGGATGTTCTGATTTTCCACAAGCAGGCGGAAGAATTGAATCTCACCGTATAAAACTCGTCATTATGCTCCGTCATTGTGTCAAACTTCACGCTTATATACTTTGTTAGATATTAATTATTTAACATGTATACGATTGCCGGGATAAGCATTAATTTATTCGCACTGAATAGAAAAAAGACGTATAATATAAATAAGAGAAGTGCAGTAGTGTTTTTCCGTCATCAAGTGTGTAACCATCTGATGCAACATAAATTGCACTCAAAATAAATTTAATAAAAATATCCTTTACCATTTATTTCTGCTTTGGCTTTCTCGTTTTCTTACTTCATATTCTGTTTTAGTCGATTCATTATACCAGTCCTTCCATTTTTCTTTATTTGTAAGGGAGAAAAATTTCTTCTATTTAATTTAGTCTATTCGAATAGGAAGGAAAAAAGTTTCGCTTATATCTTAATAATATATTTATTCTTTATATTCAGTATCTATAATAGTTTCTCTCCTCTGTATGCTCTCTATTTCTACCGAGATACATATAAATAACGAAAATAGAACGAGATTTAAAAGAGAAAAAATGGAACAGCGCAAGAAGAAACAACAATGAAAAATACAGAAATAAATATTAAATACCGATCATCTTTAGCGCTGAATAATTAAACAATTAAATAATATAGTCAAACAAGAATTTAATTTGTAAATTTTGATATTTTGCCATGATATGTACACGTAATAGAGATATGTATGAGACTTACTGCCACTATATGATTATTTGTGATAAGCATATTTTTTCAATAAGAATGAGAATGTTGTATTTTTTAAAATAATAAATATATATTTAGAAATAATGTATGTCATTAACATGCATGAACATATTTACACTTCGACAGTAACGATAAAATCTATTGGTTGAAATTATTGCAAGCATATTAAACAATGTTATTATTTTCAAACGTTAATTACTATTATTTCTCTAAAAATTTTTTATATTTATAAAATAATAATTATTATTGATCTTCTAAAACAATGAACAATATACAATATCTAAACACACATATCTCATTAATCTTATAGACAGGAAAAATGCTTATTAAAGTCGCTCATTTTATTTTTCGCTTTTATCATCCAATATACGACTGTTGTGGGCGCGTGAACATTAATTAATCTTTTGCCGCGCTTTTAGGACATAGAAGACATAGAATCTCGAATATCGGCAGCCATTGATTCAGCCATTTATCTTGGATGCAACTGGTAAAATGATCAACACCTACACATCCGAGGGTCTCAACATTCTTGGTAATATTATTGAGGGCAATATGGATTCCTGCAATCTCGATTTTTACGGCAGCATCGATCTACTAGCGAGAAAAATCTTTGGATACAACTTGGAACCGTCAACCTCATATCAGATTATACCTAGTGCCCTCGAGTTTTACAGCACGTCCATGAGAGATCCTGCATTCTATCGTTTTTTACAAAAAAAGAATATTGTACTACTACTTTAGGTATTATCTAAAAGACCTAAAAGTAAAATTCTTTGCAAGTGTTTTAAATACACTTTGCACTTAAAGTGATGACCTCCTTTCAACAATACGAATATGATTTTTATTTAGGTACAAATTGCATCAGAAATCATACAACAAGAACGAAATTATTTATCCCGAATTGAAGATCGAGTCCTTTGTCGTAGATAAATTAACTACCTATTTTGATCAGTTTGATACTTCGATCAGCAATGGTTTGGTAATTGATGATGCAAAGGAAGTGGAAAACACGTTGATCAAAATTCGTCAGTATCGTCCGAATCACAAGCCATTTAGCTTCCATCTCTCTATCAACGCCGAGAAATCTATGAAAGCCGTGATATGTATTTTCCTCGGACCAAAGTATGACACTCATCACAAAGCGATTGATTTCGCTGAATACGCAATATACTTTTATGAAATGGACAACTGGGTAATCGATCGTTAGTATTTCGATTTAATGTCTTACTGTACATGCATGTTATACAGTCGTACTTGATTGTACAAATAGATATATTGGGGAAAAAGGCTCTAATTTAATTCTCTACGTTGCATTACAGTAAACGCCGGTGTGAACAAGATTGTTCGAAATAGTCAAGACTGCTTCTTCGCCGTACCCAATCCGGAACCGAGCGAAATACTATACAAGAAGTTGCTTAAGGCCTTGGATGGTTCCGATGAATTCTCGTACGCGGAAAGAATCTAAGGATTTCCTGAGCGTTTGCTTTTGTCCAAGGGCAAGAAAAATGGTATGCCTTTCCAGATCTTTGTATACATCAATCCGGTCGAAGGAGAACTGATTCCTTCTATGTCCCGCGTCTTTGGTGGCTATAAATTTGACAATAAGTCATACAGATTCCCCTTGGATAAACCTGTTTCCGCTACGATGGATCGAACATGATGTTGAAAGATATTATGATCTATCACAAGGACGAGACGGAGTTGAACGTGACTAATTAATCGCTATTTACGTTTTAAATCTGTCATTATTTGATTCAATTATACTGCAATCAATCATGCTTCTAAATGTATCAAAATGAAGTACAATACGTTTTAGGTCTTTTACAATAAAGATTTTTTTATGAATCATAAACACACGTATTAATATATTAATACGCGTACTGTCCACACAATTATAAATAAAAAAATTTTTTACTTGTAATTAATTTATGACGATTACTCTTAGAATTCTGCGATAGATTTTTTGTTTCATAGACAACTTATGCTCTGATAAGAGAGTTAATTATTTTAATAAATCATAAATAGAAAATAAAAATTGCTCTTTAACTAATAATAAAATTTTTTATACAGAATGCGATATTTTAAGATCAATAATTTCCTTTTTCAAAGAAAATCTCTTATAAAAAAGTATATATTGTATATTTTTATCTATTTTTTTCCACGGATTATTTCCGTTAGCTATAGACGACGATTTTGGTCGTACCTTATTATAATTCGTGGCCTTTAACGGGTTGAATACCAAAGTCCAATACCTCCGTGTACATTCCTCTCTACGACACAACGGTCAAGTACATGGCCGAGGTGAAGGTAAGCGGCCCCTTGAACGGCGCAGTGCAGGTGAAGAGTAAAATTCAGTTTTGCTATGACCGTTGGCTGGTAGACAGGTCCGACCGGCTCGCGAGATAGTCTCGAGAAAACTCATCTTGACAGCCGCGGCTATTCTAAAACGGAAATTTCTTCCTTCCTTGGTCTTTACAGTGAATTAACACGCCATGGAATTTCGTACGTTTGTTGTAAGTTGCGAACATTATTTTTATCATCCACTTTTTCAGACATGAGCAACAAACGAATCGTATTAGATCTTAACTTCTCTAGATTCTTTTTCGTCTTTGGATTCTCTGTAAACTATATTTCCTTTCCTTAACTAAAATTTGACACGTAGGCGTCGTTTTATTTATAACTTCCTATTATCTATAATTCAAGACAAAAAGAAAAAAAAAGTAATTCTAATTATTCTCTGACGAATAAATTTGTTTTAATTCAATAAAGAAGATTTTCAGGACTAAAATTTATTGCGTGTAAAATTGAGCTGAAAATCAACAAGTAAAAATAAAACAAATGTCAAGATTTGCATACGAAAACAAATTATAAGAAATCCAATTTGACACCGCAACATCAAACTCTTCGTGATTTATATCCACAAAATTAAAAGTTAAAAAAATAATATTATCAAAACATTTTATACAATCGTCATCATATTGTATATGGCAGTACATTTTTCTTGTAAAAGTGACGCAGTACCAGAAAGAAAATTGTTTTTTTGAAAACCAACAGATACAAAATTATCAGTTTTAAATCGCGTTATTCTTGAAGAAGAAAATTCGAGACAGATATTTATGCGATCGTTGACAACTTACGGCCGTGTCCTGCTAAACAAATCGAGTCTGCCGTTTCTGTCGATACCGGTTCGGAGACGTCATTGTCCTCGTAACTGTATCGGCACTTCCTAACGCTCAGATCTACTGCAAGAAAGTAGGACGGACATCCACCTTTTGCAATGAGAAGAATTCTTACGTAAAAAATCGTCAAATTTCACTGACCTGTACCGCAGTTTGATAAGGGTCTCGCTAATTAATAATTACATCTTCCTATAATATATGCATAGATCGAGCAAGTTGAAAATAAAGTAAACCGGGCTATTGCACGTTGCGATTCGATTAGATAATAAAATTATGCAAAATATGAATGATTCTACGGATTGATTATTACCGCAATATATTATTTCGCCAACAAAAATCGATAAAAGTTCTTTCTCATTTTCCTAAAAGATGATAAACTTTATTATACATGGCTCTATATTATACAAGTCTCGGTAGGTTAATTTATCGTTTTGTCATATCTACGATACTTGTAACGTTTTCTGCATCCTCGGAAAGAGTAAAAGAAAGACAATAAATAGATTGCTGTTTTCTGTGCAAAATCCTTTCTCGGTCTTTAAAAAATTAACAAATAAACTCGCAATGTGTTATAACTATAACGTAACATCATATATGTTGAAAGAATGTATTGGAGAAGATGTATTGGATAAGACGAAAAACGCATGTAAACGTACGTGTGCATCTTCATATTATATTATTCTCTATGTTGTTCTCTTAAATATTGTTAGTCCCTGAATGTGCAAAAGAAGATTCATCAGTAAAACGGTATAATGCCTCGGTTAGTAGGGCAACGCTCGAGTAACACGCACGTTATAAAATAGGCTGAACAGCCCGCAGCGAGAAGCGTGGATCGTGCATGGACCGTGTACCGTTAGCATCGTACGCATACCTCGGTAACTTGAAGGAATATCTCGTAATCATCGCGTCGATGCCGACGCGATGTAACGTAATACCTGTTAGCCGTTACCCATAAAGAGATTTTGCATAAAAAAAAATTTGACATTACAGTGAAAAGATCGAGAAAATCAAATATGATCACGACTGCGGCAAAATTAAAAAATATTATTTATAAATTATATATTTATAGAATTGTTGAATCTTTGACGTTTTGTTTTTTCGAAGAAATTGATCCATTAGTTGCAACGTATTGCTAAGGATTATTGAGTAAATTTTTCTTCAGGTTTTCTCTGTTAATTTAGTTTTTTTTTAGTAAATATAATTAAAATAATTAATCATACTGTGGAGCAAACTGAAATTTTTTAATGAAAAAACGAGATAACACTTACAAGTTATATAGATCTAATCGTAAGATGTATAAACCACGATTAAACATTTATATCTTCGCTCATAGGACATGCAGAAGAAAAATGAAAACACTTTTATTATATATAATTCAAATTAAAGCTATATCGATTGAGCCTATTCAGAATTTGATTGGTTGAACCGTTGTTGAGATAATGATAATCCAATGATCTCGGATACCGCAACTCTTGCGTATGATGGATATACTGCTCCAGTTCGTCACGAATAAACTGTGTAATTATTTTCTTCTGTACAACAAATCATTGTTATTTAGATGATACTCTTGTGTACATCATCGTACGCCGAAGATGAGTCCAAAAATACCAAACCGGTTATTAACGACGAGTCCACGCGAACGGAAGAGCCTCCAGAGGGATATTATGCGTTCGTCGAATCACCGAATGCGGAACCACCGAAAGTTCGGCCACCGCCCTACATTGACAGCGATAAAGAATGTTACGGTAGGTCCGGAATAAGCAAAGTGAAACCTATAATAGTTTCAATATTCTTACTTATAATTACATTTAACGCTATTTACTAGAATTGTCCTGTAATTATCGGTTCCTCTATAATAGTTAAAAATTCGCATTTTTAATAATTAAAGAAATTATTATTGTATATAATAATACGTAATTTATTTCAAACTGGGTATCTTGACTTTCGATACTAATGACGTTTTATATAATTTGTCATTTATACTATATTTTTTATAGGTAGCGATAAACATGGAAAAGGGTATGTTTCCATACATAATATATGCGGAGATTTGAATAAAGGCTATATTCCGCGAAATCCAATGAACCAATACGTAAACGGCTCGTCATATCCTTTGTAAGTGAGAGATATAATAAATTAAGTAAAGTCATTATTCAGATCGCGGCATTAAACAATTTTTTATTAAATTAGCAACGTTTGTAAATTTTTTCCGCAGTGCACTGATAAAGAATTATACTCTCAAGTTCCTCAGTAAGGCGTTACCAATTCTCAAAGCTGACGATTCGCTGCCAAAGGTCGCCAAAGTGCATCCATTGTCACAAAATTCGTAAGTATAGTGTTCTCACAATTTTTATTCTCAACTTGCTAAATTTTTCTTTTATAAATTAAGTTTGAATATTTTATACATCATCTTTTCATATGTATACGTCCTATACGTAATTTTTTTCCATTAGTTTTTCAAATATTATACATGACATATACATATATAGTTGCTTTTTAATAAGTGAAAACTGCGATAGTACAATGTAATTTTTAATTTTTATCTTAATAATGGATATTAATTTGATATACCGAACCATCTAACACACAACTAACTCTCTCTCCGTAGCGTTGATACAGACGAAGAAGAAAAACATGATAGAAGCAAAAGATCCAGTTCGTTGGATTCGACTTTAGTCCCGGATTCCAGTCGACACGGTCGCAAATTTTGCGATAACGGTAGTGGAGTGTAAGTATATTTCATTGTCTCAATTACGTCTCGATAAGTTTCAAGTTCTACCACTTCTACCTATGCATATATATATTAGATTCGCAATATATTAGCAATCAGGTAGCCACGTATAATGGACGTGTAATGACCCATTTTTTAAAAAAGTTGATATCAATTGATGTTTCCAGAAGTATCGAGAGCTATATCGATAGTTGTAAAATAATTAAAATTTTTGAAAATAAAGATGATTTCCTTTTAAAAAGAGAGGAGATCCTTAAATAGATCGGGACGACTATCGTTTTCTTTAAAGTTTAAAATTTACTTATAGGTATATTAACGCAATCCTAATAATGTTGTTTCTTTTTGACGAATAGGATGTGCATGTTATTTAAAGCGATCCAAGGCGAGCCGATCACGCCATCGTCATCAGCCATCGAACGGCGGGATGAACCTTCGACATCCGATTATCGACGAGGAGAACGCGTACCGTCACAGGAGAAAACGGAATATACGGGTCCGCCGACACCATGTCCAGCCAAAGTCGAGTATGCGACTCCGGTCTTCGCCAAGAATTATCAAGGTGTTTGGAGATACGTGGTGCAGATACCTTACGAAGGTTACTTTACGCAGACAATTGAACTTACCAGATGCATGTAGGATTCCGATTATACTAATTTGCAGTGTAGTTAGCCATCTAAAGTCCAGGAGTAATATGTATTTTCGTCATCATTGTAGGCAATCGAGATGCCATTACTTGGATGGTGGATGTTTATCGTCGCCAAGATGGACGAGTTTATTGGTCGCTGAAATATTTTACCCGGACACGTTCTTAGAGGAGAATCAAGGGGGTACCGGTATCGGCTCTGCTACTCGAGATCCTGTCGCTGGATCACCACCACCGGTTCACGATTTTCAAAATTATCAGCAATATTTGCAGAAACGCGCGAGCACGGGAGAAGCA